CTGTTGGATCAAAGAAATGTATTTTAATAATAATAATAATAATAATAATAATAATAATAATAAAATCCATCAGAAGCTGCTTAAACTGCAGAAACATTATGACATAGGTCAACAGATGTGACATCATTATATGACCTACAACATGCATCGACATAACTCCAGGCAGAATGAAGTGATGACACCAATGTTTTATGTATCGGAGCTGCAGATAATGACCCATAAGTATTGCTGGCCGTGTTTTTGCAAGATATGACAGCTGGCTGAGAAGCCAATGACTTAATTGCAATTGCTCCTTAGTTTTGTATTGTAAAGGAGGTTCAAATTTCGCATTCCTTGTGGTCTTGAAACTTAATACATTCTTCACATTTATAATTCGATTTGGCTGATGCAGTGTAAATTTCCAAATCAGGGTCACTAATTTCAGACAGGCACAGTGATATTTAATACCACACGTACCAGATCTAATAATTTTCTTCTTCCCATAGGAGTGTTTGTTGCAGAATGAAAAAAGGTTTTACCAGCTGCCATGAGGGCTAGCAAAAATATCACAAACACTCACATTAACAACAACAACAACAACAACAACAATGGCAATGAAAGCGACAGTGACAGTAACTTTCATAAGAAGGATTGTGTGTTGTATGGACATACATAAAATGACAAGGTTTCAATTCCACATGTTTCTGAAGGACTGTCAGGATTGAACTGACATAATATTTATAATTACAGTTTGCAGAGACGCACTCAAAGTTCTCACACATTCCGTGGGATTTAGATAATGGGTCTATTTTCAACCATGTGGACTCATTTGTTCAGAGATGTAGAGACATGATTGAAATATGTGAAGCCATGATTATTTTTGGCAGGTATGTACATAAGCTATCCAAAATAAGCATGGAATGTTAATATATGTTGACTAATTGTATGGGGAGGAGACCATTTATTCATTTGATTAAATTGTACTGTTATGATCTGCTACTGCAGGGCATCTGTTGTATTGAAAATAAGGTATTCAGGCTGTAGAAAGTTAAAGCCAGAAAACATAGTGGCTTCTATAAAGTAGGCAGTCAAGTACTGACTCAATTTCTGAGAGGAAAGATAACAGCGCTGAAAGGACAAAATATTGTACTTAATAGGGAAAGAACTGCAAAAAATATAATATATGTGCAAACAAGGGGTTCAGAATTTTAACTTGGATGTCATAGCCATTCCTTAGCTGTATATAGTAGTTTGTATATTTTTTGAAAAGTTGTACTTATATATGGCTTATGATTGTAACAAATGTTGGTAGTATGCTTGTAACTTTGTAGATTCATTTTGTTAACTTGTATTACCAAATGAATTGTCCAAGTGTTACTATGTAGCAAAACGGATAAAATAAAATACAATACAATACAACACACCTCATAAGACCCTTCCTAACACTTTAATTACAATCACATAACTGTATTATATTTTTCCACCAAATCAGTTACCTTAGAAAAGTAAGTCTGATGGATGAACAGAGGATAACTCGTTTTAGTACTATTATTTGCCATTATAGGAAGGATGAAACAGAGGATGTTCCAAAACCCCGTTTTAGAGGAACAAGGGGAGAAGAATTTGAGCATATATGTGAGAAGGAAGAGAGGACCTTTGCAGAAAATTTGCAAGCTATTAGGGTTGTCCAGCAAAATATACTGGATGTCACAGCTTCTTCATGGTATGATGATATAATGAGGTAAGAAATTTAAAAATCTTATTTTAATTTCAAGCATAGAAACAGATCAATTATTGTCCATGTGTGGATTTTCTCTGTCACATACCTACAGTATTTTAGTCATAGTTAGTTGCAGTTATAATTATAATTATAGTTATAGTTAGTCATAGTTATTTTAGCTAGAGTCCTAATTCTTTCTCATGAAAGGAGCAGGACAACAACGGGGTTATAGAAGATGAAGTCTTATCTAAACACCAAGTGATTTGAAGAACTGACTGTATGGGACAGAAGAGGGTTTCAATTGCCAGTGGACTCTTCTTTATATATTACACTCAGTATGAACACTGGACTACATTTAGACTGTTTTCCTTTTTTAAAGAAAGAAAGTAGGTCTACAAGATCACTGTGTGTGTGCATCCGTGCCCCCTTTCAACTTTTGAACCAGATAACTATTTTTCAGAAAAATTGGTATGAAGGTTGTGCTATTTGAGGCTCCTTCAGTGTTGCACTTTTCAAAATTCCAGCAATCAGTAGATGAAGCATGGTGGAAGAGAAACTGTGAGTGGGGGAGGCACATCAGTGACAATTTATGATCCTTGAAATGATGTGTGGCAGTAGATCTCCCACAAATACTGAAGTTTTGTAAAGAATTTTTGTAGTGTATGAAACAGAATGACACTGAACATTTCTTTAGCTTATAGCTTTAAGACAATAACCAGTGAACCATTGGGGTTGGCATGAAATTTGGATACAGATGGATTGTAAACATGCCTACGCATAGGGTTACCATAGGTCCTCATCTTTCCGGACATGTCCTCATTTTCGAGGGGTAAATTACCGTCCGGGAGGAATTTACAAAATTAAGGGTATTATTATTATTATTATTATTATTAATATCCGAAAGTTGGCCGTATTTCAATTTTCTTCTTCTTTCTGCCTAGCATCTTTGCTTTATGTAACCTTTTGACTTGTTCTGTATCCAAAGGTACTAACCTGCTTAGGATTTATAGAATGTAAATAAATTCGATTCAATTCATGTATCTTCTCCTTGCAAAGGAAGTATTCATTTGACTAATCGGTTTTCACTTCCGGTTCCTTAGTCTGGACCGGTTTGAACTGCTGGGTTGTTACGTTTAGCTGTTGGTTTTAACATGTGTTATAGAGTCGTTTAATATCGTGTCGTCATAAGTTTTAATATAAAATAAGTGTGTGTTTTGTGATTTTAAACAATTAAGGAAATCATAACAGGTAGGAATAGAGATACTAAATTAGAACGGTACGATATATAAGCGTACTCTTAATCTTATATGCCGATCCGCGTTACATATTATTAGTTATGATTTTTTCCTTATCTTTTTATAGCACTACTTCAAGAGAATAATGCCGAAGAGAAAATGCAAATTCACAGACGAATTGAAGGAAAAATACCTGTGTTTTCGCTCTGGTCGCGTGGAATGCGAAGCAGAATGCATGATCTGTACTCCAGGGACATATGTCTCAATAGTCAATAAAGGAAGCGGGGATTTAAAAATTCATATGAAGTCTGGAAAACATTGTAAGAATGTTAGAGGGGAGAGTTCTTCCGAAAAATTGACAAAATATTTCATGCCCAATACCAAAATTGACGAAAATGTATGTGCTGCAGAAGGCACACTTGCTTTCTATACTGTAGCACACCACAACTACAAGTCCATGGTGTCCTCATTTTTAAGTTTCAAAATATGGTAACCCTCGTATTGTGTCCTCATTTTTAAGTTTCAGCATATGGTGACCCTACCTACACAGACATAATATGAAGACAATGAAAATCTTTGAGGTTATGTATATGCCATATTTAATGTAGACAGAATTTGTTCTGGAATAGTAATTTCTTCACAGAACTAAAGCAGCAATAGCTATAGTAATAGATGTGCAGATAGAAAAATGTGCAGTAGGAAATTAAGCATTACAAGTTTTTCTTTGAATTTTTTTGTTATTACAATTGTTGCTTTATGTTGAAGCTTATTAAAATACTGGAGATATAGTTATTGAGATTCTCCTTTGAATGATCTGTATGAATGTTTCTTTGTCAAATCATATCAGAATTTGCTAGTTATCATCATCATTAACATTATTATCATAGTTACTATCCTTGGCATTATCACCATCACTACCCTTGCTTTTCATAATATATATAAATGACCTTCCACCAACAATAAATTTTTCATCAGAACCCATAATATTTGCTGATGATACAAGTGTTATAATCTCTAGTAAAATGTTTGATGATTTCTGTGCAATATCAAACAGAGTACTCTCCCACATGAATAAATGGTTCAATGCTAACAGACTTGCCCTAAATTTAAACAAAACAAATGTAATGAAATTTACAACAAATAATGCCCCTCCCTATGTTTTAAATATTGGATATAATGGAAAATATATAGAAGAGACAGTAAATACGAAATTCCTTGGCTTGCAAATTGATAGCCACCTAAGTTGGTCGAACCATATAGATAAATTGATCCCTAAGTTAAGTGGAGCATGCTACGCAGTTAGGAGTAGAAGCATGTTTCATGTCAGCAATACTGAGACTCTCAAATTGATTTATTTTGCCTATTTTCATTCTGTAATGAAGTACGGAATAATTTTTTGGGGTAACTCATCTTACAGCCAGAAGATATTCATCTTACAAAAGAAAATTGTTAGAATAATGGCTGGTGTTAAACCAAGAGAATCATGTAAAAATATCTTCAAGAGGCTAGAGATCTTAACTCTCCCATGTGAATACATATTCTCCTTAATGATCTTCATTGTAAAAAACCAAGAATTTTTTCCAACCAATTCTACAATACACAATGTCAACACAAGGAATAAAAATCAGCTTCACAGACCAGTTGCCAGCCTCTCTTGTTTCCAGAAGAGTGCATATTATACTGGCATTAAAATCTTCAACAATCTACCACCAAATATCACAACTCTTATAGATAAACAGGGACAATTTAAAGTAGCACTAAAGAGATACTTAATTACACACTCCTTTTACTCTGTTGAGGAATTTATGCTTCCAAACAACATAAAGTGTATGTAATGTTTTCTCTTGTTTGGAACACAGGAAAAAAAAAATCTAGTATATGTTAATGTATGGATTTATGATGGATATTTTACTACTTTTGTGAAATCCTTACTATTTATGTGAAATTGAATTGTGCATGTATATATGTATTGTATGATTTTTGACAAATTCCACATCCGGTAGGTCATCTGACTAACTCATGGATCTATGGAATGCTATGTATGTATGTATATGTAATAATCATCAAAAGCATGAAAAAATATTCAGTACAGTTGCTGCCCACCTGTTTTAATCTATCTGTCCCATTCCATATCTGTGTCAGTTCCTTGTTCTTTTTCTGGCAAGGTGTAGAAATATAAAAGCCTTATATTCAAGCCTGATGCAGTGCCATGCCATTTTGTTTCAAATGGCTATACATTCAACTTGTTTAAATATTTATTTTTAAAAAGACACAAGTTCTGTGTTACAGTACTATACAGTATTCAGATAAGAGACCACCTGTAACGTTTTGGGGAGAGTGTTCCAACAAGCAAGAAATTAAGCATGCATTTTTAATTTTCACTGTTAAGTTTTGAAATTTTTGCATAATTTATTATGTATAATGAAAGTTTTGGACAGAAGAAACATGGATGTGGGGTGCTCCACTTTATACAAACGCTGGACATAAGAAGAAAATTTAAACCTGTCTATACCTCTACATACATTGCTCATGTTATTTTTCCTGGCAGCATGCATTTCCTAATGTAAATTTCTTTGTAAAAGGTTCCGAGGCCAGATGAAAGACACTGAGATGATACTGGAAAATCTTATGATATCCGTGTTTGAGCAAGTAGTAAATTTGGAGGAGGGAGTTCATGCTCTGCAAGCATTTTACTACTATTCTAAAAGAGATGGTCTGCGTCCTTTGTATGATAAGAAAACTGTTGCTGTGAGTTATCTTAGATAATAGTTCTGTGTCTGCTTGCTCATTGGTGCATGTTCTGCATTGCAGTGAAATGCTATCACCTTCTGAAACTTATTAATTAGTGATCAATGTTTATGAATTCTGGTACTGTGTAATGGCTAGACATGTGCTCAGATTCCTAAGTAAGTGTAAGAAATTGCATGGTGATAATTTTTTTGTTAATCACAATTTATCACAGTTATGAAGAAAAATGTATGTGTAGTTAATTATATAAAAGCTGGAAGAGGAAAGGCAAGGGGAATTGTGCTTAATTTGCATATGTCTTTGCATAATACCTATATATGTAGTGTTTCACTCTGAGAAAACTTCATGCTCTACTCATGCTGAGGCAGTCATTATCTGTGATCAGAGAGAAATTCTTAATTATAATTTTTTACCATACATGTGTGAAGAGTGTCATAAGATATTGCATTCCAGTATGCATTAACAGCCTTCTCCTGGCTTTGTCTACTTCCATCCCTCAAGAATTATGACTTCAGACACTTTCAGAATCCTGTAGTGCACTTATTAAAATTGTCCATCCATCCAATTCTCTGCCCATTTCTGTGCATGAAACATGTAGGGAGCTGCTGAACAGAGTTTCATGAAATTTTATGTAAGGGAGTTTTTCTAAATTTGTTGATACTCGTATATTCAGATTTTGGATAGAGTTGCATAAAGATTACAGACACATTATTTTTATGTGTATCCTAAGCATAGCTCCTTAATTATTTATCAGAGCAGAAAATGTTTTAAACAAAAATTATAGAGAAAATGAAGCATCTACATAATTTTCTGCAGGCCTTATGGTTTCTGAGATTATTAAACAAGAACTCTACTATGTATACATTTCCTAATTTGAACACTCAGAAATCAGCAGTAATTTTCTGAACACAAACAAATATTAATTTACACTTGACAGTGGTTCTCTGAACTCGTGAAGATTACTGAAGGTACTCATTTTTTATAGTAACTAAATGAAACTGAATTTGTAGGTCACCATATATACAAATGTATATTTAATTAAAGTTTGACTTCAAATAAGAGCATAAAAACTTCTGTGAGCTATGTGAATAAACTCTTAAAAATCTGAATGCATTGCAATAAATACTTGAGCATAGATATTAGCATACTATTTATAATTCCCATCACCAAATATGTGTGTTCTGTGTACACTGTATGCTTTTATATTCAACTACTTTATTCAAAGCTGCAGAGGTAGGCCTGTGCACTAATCTGGAACTGGAACACAGCAAACAAGTTTCGGTAAGAAATACTGACTTAGTTGTGCTTGAAACTTCCAGTTTTTGCCTATAACCTTCAGTCTTTCTATTATAGTGCAGTAAGAAGTGTATGAGTATTTCTGTAAATACATCCCGATTTTCCTCAAGACCAAACTTAATCATCTTGGATTTAATATTCTCACAATCGTTGCTATGAAGAATTCTGTCTTCTGGGACACAATAATGTGTAGTCTCATGGGATTAACCAGTGATTCAGAGGAACACACCTCCTCCATCCTCACGGTTTGGTAAGTTAGCAGGAAACTAGCAAAAGTGTAAATAAGATCTAAAAGTTTGTGATGATGGTAAATTGTTACAATTAATATGTTGCTGGACATTATCCATCATCTTGTCTGTTCTAAAATACCCATCTAGTTTCTATTAAAAAACACAACGTTTCGGGAACTGGAATCTGTCCCCGTCTTCAGGTAAAACCTACTCAGTTGGGTCCAATAGACAGAGCTAGCCCCTATCTCCGTCTAACTAGACGGGTATTTTAGAACAGACAAGATGATGGATAATGTCCAGCAACATATTAATTGTAGCAAAAGTGTGTTCGCTGCCTGTTTCATGCTAGTTACTTTCTTGTTTCAAGAAGGTAGACGTCTTCAACTTTATCAATGTGAGAATAGTTAGTGACATGCACCGAAACCATCTCATCTTCATAGGACGGCAGCACTTCATGAGAACTCTTTTGTTATAGTTCTTGAATAGTGAATTATAGACACTCTGTTGATAATGATAAGGTATTATAGATAACATTTCTCGTAATTATTTTACGTTTGAAGTTCTGACACTGATGAAAATTCATATACTGGTGTTCTGGGTTATAACACCATAGTCTGATGAGTGGTTACCAATCTTTTGGTGCAACATACTGCCTCAGTCTTCAGGTTAAAAGTGAACCAAGTTGGGGTAGGAGCATACTGTGTAGGAGAGGTGTGAGAATAATGGGCCACAGAGGACAGGAGACATGGCTAATCAGAGAGGGGACAAGCAAGTGGACAAAGAACCCTAGGTGGGCCAGTGGCAACTACTGCAGGCCCTGAAAAGGGCAGCAGATCCAGGACAGGAGGCCTTGAAGGGCTAACTATGAAAGTGCAGCAGGCACAGTGAAGGATAATTACACAAGGACCCTTGTAGAGGATATATGCAGAGAAAAGTCAAATTCAGATAGTGACCTTATAAAGAGCCTTCTTACATTTCTACAGGGTGTAAATGAGAACCAAAGGCCTGCCCAGGTGCTTTCTCCTCTTCCTCATTCCTGCTTCTGATTGGTCACTTCTGGTGTCTATGACCCATTCTTCCCAGTTTGGTTCACCTCTACCTTGAAGACAGAAGCAGTATGTCCCTCCAAGATATTTGAATGCACATATGAAAATACACATTGTCACAACCCGGAAGACTACAACATAAACTCGTAATTAATTTGCACTGCACAGTACAGGTTGGTCTAGTGGTAATTCTCTAGACATGTATTTTGGACTATATATGAGTTTTGTTTTTCCTGTCAGACACAACAATATACCAAGCAACTCACATTTCACTGGGCATAACTGACTTTATTGGTTATACAATGTCATAACATGTTTCAGCTCATGGAGCCATCATCAGCAACACATTAACAAATCTTATACTATTGAATTATGCCCATTATAATAAACTGAGAAATATGGTGTGCTTTTTCCCCTTTTGTTAAACACCTTTCCATGCACAGATTAAGTGGTTGCATTTTTATGCTGCGTTAGAAATGTATTAAACAAGTATTTAAAACTTATTAAGAGTCTTAAAATATTAACAAATATATATTAGAAAGATATGTTATTTGGTTAAAATATTAAAATATTGAACCCATGGAAATACCATATTCTAAATATTCTGAGTGGTTCATTCCCCCCTTAGTTTAAATTAAATTAAAATTATGTATAGATTTCCTCTGTTGATCATGCCGGACTTTCAATATGGCTGCATTTTGGTTTATTGTTACTGCTTTGATCCTGAATGCTGTATATATGATACAACTGTCACCACTTATGTTGTCTATGATATGTTTATGTTTGATCGTGGTTGGCTGTGTTTTGCTTCAAAGTTCATTTAATATTTTCTTCTTAGGACAGCTACCAAGCTTACTATTTTGATGTTTTCTTGTATTATCAGGTTAAATTACGTTGTGTCCTTAATCACATCCTTCCACGATCTGACTATAATTGTGTTGATGGATTTATAATCTACGTGTATATTCAAACTTACGCCAATGCATTTGCTTTTGTTGCCTGTTGGGTTCAAAACAAAACTCTTATACAGTACGAGCACCTAAACAGGATGTATTCCTTAAAGATTTTATTTTGGAGTTGTTTACATCCAATCTTGGCCAGGACACTGCCAGTCCTGACTGAGGTTTTACGTAATTTCTCAGAGTATCGCCAGGAAAATACCAAGCTGGTACCTCAGTGAGGCCATAACTGCATACTTCCAGATCCTTTCTGACTCATAATTCTTCTGTCTTCATGCCATCCGACAATATGTAGTCTCTGTGCTGGAGAAGCTTCATCAAGTAATTCGTGCAAAAAGATGGTTCTTATCGAGCTGTATATTCAATGGGAAAGAGAAGGAAAAAGGGAGATAGTGAAAGCAAGGGAACTCTGAATAATTTCACTGTTATTTTGTACTCTATGAGATATAGTGAAGAATATCTGCTTTTTTAGTTAATGTTCCTGTTTACCAAAAATGTTGTTGGGTACTTGGTGTTTTGCTATAAATTTTGTGCTTTGAAACATTAGAACTTTATCTTCCTTGTCATGCATAAGAAACAAATACGAGAACAGCAAGAATGCTTATATTGGTAAGTATGTTTCAAGAGAGGAATTTTCAAAATTTGTAATACAATAATTATAGGTATGTAAGAAATTAAACTTTATGTTAGGGTGTCAATAGGTATTACTCTGGTTTCCAATATTTTTCATGAAGTAACAGCATCAGTTCTATTTCTTAACAACAATGGGCTGGATTGGCTTCACAAAGGAATAAATGTCAAACTTCATTATATTTGTTTTTTATGACAATATTCAGTATCATTAAGAACATTGTTAATGCTTTTATTTGTATCTTCAATAGGTGTATAAGATGTTTGGTGAAGAAATTCAGGCGACAAAGAAAGGCTTGGTGGAGAAGAAAGCTTCTTGTCCGGCAGGATTACCCCCATTTGCTGGTCGAGTTTTAATGATTCATTTGAAGAAAAGACATTTTACCAAATTGATGAAGGTAAGGTGATATATTTTGGTAGCTGGTTAAATATTTTCGGTAGTGCCCAGCATTTTTATTATTAACTTAAGCCAGAGTCTGTATTTCATCAGTATTTGTAGGACACATTTTAATTGCTGTTTGCAGTCAGTCTAACGGAAGGTGTATTGAAGAATTGTTAGTTGATATTGTTCACTTATTCTGAGGTTAGCAATTGTGGACAATATTATTATTCTTAAATATGTAGTCACTTTCTTGTCAGATACTGGATGATGCTCAGTGGATGCCTCCTTGTGGTATGCGAGATGAAGTACGTACACAGTATGAGGAACTCATAGTGTCAATGGATGACTTAGCTAGAGATCTCTATGAGGAATGGAATGATTCTTTGGATGAAAATATCAGTGCAAGACTAGATAAACCATTGATTGTTAGAAGTCATACAAGGCCTGGACTTTTGGAATCTAATTTTGACAGGTGGGTTTTGTAATGCTATGATCAAACACTAGAGCATGGGTAAAATAATATTTTGTTTTAATTTGTTGTACCTATGAAAAATATTCTTTTTTCATATTGTGGCATGATGACTGAAAAGTAACGACTTGGTAAAGAAGCAAGCTGTTGCTAGGCAATGGCTTGCTCAGACATCATGCAACAATTGTGGAATTGTTGGAAATTATCTTTTCTATGTAGCCTGTCCTGAGGCTATACGACAAAGGCCTCTAAGTGAATAAGCCAATGACTGCTAAGAGGCTAAGAGTTGCAGGTGAGAGTTTCAAGCCAATCACGACATGAGCCCAAAAGCAGAGGAGTTGCAGCTGTAACCTAGCGATGCCTAGTAAAGACTGTAAGCAAACAATGACTAGTGAGGGTTATAACAGACTGAGATGTAGCATATGTTGTAGGGGTTGGTTATGTTTGTACATTAGCGGTAATGCTATAATTGTAGTTTTGTGTTACAGCTGTTCAATAAATCCAGTTATCAACCTAAACCTTGTGTATAGTCTGTGGCACATTACAGTATATTATATGCCCTTGTGTCAGGTGTAATTAAAGAATTTTCATACTCCCATATCTTCTCTTTCTTTTCCATAAATATCCTCTGGTAAGGCCATATTCTTGGCCTTACCAGAGGTCTCTTTCATTTTGGTTTCAGTCGAATTGCTTTCATTCTATTCATTTTGATTCGCGTGACTTGGTTTTATCACTTAAATGTACCAGTTTCTTAATCCTCTTGTAATTTTTCAATTGATCAAATAAGCTGCCCTTTACCCCACTAGGAAGATTCCTGGTACTCATTTCTGTTAGAGGCTGAGTCGACCCTGGGGCCATACTGTGGCTGGAAAGATTAGGTCAATTGAAAAAATCCACCTCATTGGAACTCGAACCTGAAACCTTCCGGCTTATAACATAGTGCCTCAACCAATTACACTACTTCGTATTGCAGATAACAAAACTAATAATAACACTACGTCAACATCTTTATGAACTGCAGGAATCACACGTATAATTACAATTGTAAACAACTATCAACACTTATAAATCTAACAGTAAAATTATATAACAACACATCATTTATGCATTACAGGTAATACCCATGCCCCAAAGGCATGCGCAAATAAATACAAAACAAGGGATACTCAAGAAAATATCTTTTAAACGAGTAGGCAATGACTGCAAGGAAAACATTGGGGTGTTAATTGGTTTTAATTAATGTAAATTTATTTTAATTATAAAATATTGCTTGGCTGAAACATGTAGTGAGGAAGAAGGGTGACTGGAGAATAAGTTGCATTTAAGATGGAAATGTATGTGAAATAAATTATATATTAATGGAAGAGGATGTTTAAATACAATAATAAAGTGAGTTTACGTGAATATGGGCTAAGACGACTTGTATATCTCAGGTAAATTAAGGTTCCTATTGAAATGCTAATACTCAGTGAAATTTGGAACAAGTTCAATCAGGTTTCTCTGAACTTACCATGTTTACTTACTACTAAAACCAAGAGGCTTTCAAGAATTCTACTGTAGCTTGGTCTGCCATGACACAAAACTGGCAAAATGAATTTTATTACCTGTGGCATGAGCTCTTGTTTAATGAACTAATATTTTTACAGGGTTGTTGGAAATATATGCCATGAAGCAAGAATTTGGGAAAGAATGAAATATGACATTCCCACTGTTGTCCAGTCAGTATATAACAAATGGGATAAATTGAAATTTGTATATGAGAGTGTTCTGACTGTTGTGATGGATTATAACCAAGTTATAGAAGGTAAACTTTTTTGAAAATGTATTCTGAGTGAGGTAGTCATAGTACTATGATATGGTGATCAGGCCTACAAAACTCCTTGCTCCAGGTTACCATGGCACCTGAAACTTTCATAATGGAATTAAGAATTTTCTACCTATTTTATTACATCTAGCACATGACCGGTCAAGGATGATGTACCAAATTTTTCTTTCTTTCCTTTATTGACTTTCCCTTTCTTGTCTTTATCTCATTCCCCTTTTCCTTGTTGATTTTCCATCTCTTTCATTTGGCCATTCTATTCTCATTCCTCTTTCCAATCATTCTTTCTTCTCCTTCATGTTAAAGACGTTCCCTCACCCATGTTGTTCTTTTTCATTATCCTACACTTGCCCCTTATTTCTTTCCTTCCCTTGTATTTTCTGGCCTATTGTAAGTCCTCTTCCCTTACTCTCTCCCACTCCTTCACATTATAATATTCACCTTACACTTATTCTTCATTCCTCTATCCCATTCATAATTTATTTTCCTCCGTCCTTTCTCCTACATTCCTTTCCCATACCTACTAATTGTCCATCCTGTCTTTCCTTTTCCTATATCTATCAAGGACAGAAGATTGTTTATGCTTTCTCCACCTCCAAGTGAAAGTATGCTGTTCCTCTGAACATGACAGGAAGTGACAGATATACTGTGTGTATACACATATTTCATTTTGTCATTTGTTAACAAGAATGAGCGACTAGGTATCCAAATCCTTCTCCTACTGCAGATATGCTAGACGTACTAGCCCCCTGTAGTGGTATGTCAGTACTACTTACTCACAATAGAGTTTTTGGTTTTACCTCAGGTAGGTTCTGAACCACTGGTTCGTCCCTGCCTTTGACTGAAAATTCAACAGCAGGTTCATTGGCTGCACCTGGGTCCCTTAGTTGTTCACCAGAGCTTCCAACCCCCTGCTGAAGCATTTCTTATAGGGAAGCCTTTGGAGGAGGGCCCTCTTCAGTTTAAGGTTCTTATGACTGGGTTTTTTTTTGGTTCCTTTCATTTTGGTCCCACGAGTTTTGGGGATTTAAAAGGTCGCCTTCCACAGCGCCCCATACGGGCGGAAGGCATAAATACACCGGGGTGCTGCCTGGTGCCCCGAGGGGATCGTTCAAGTCACTGGCTAATTACCACCCCAGTGCCATGCAGCCCTCAGCACGATGCCTCACACCTTGTCTTAGGTGGTTTGGTCCTGTAGTGAATGAAACCCTCACAAGCCTCCAGGACCAAGAGTGCCTGTTTGGGGGGAGAGGGATATACCAGATTATTAATGGGAGTGTGACACCAGTTAGTTTATGAGCTCCCCCATTCCCACCCCTCCACATGGGTTGGTGAAACCGTTTTAGAGTGTTGAGCCCTCAGGTTTGCAGCACCCTACCGGTACTCTAGGGAAACAACTCAAGTAGCCAAGTGCTCTCCTGAATTCGTCCCGGGTACACTGTAGTGAAACCCAAGAGTCATTATGCCACCACGTGGGAGGCTCTGGTCATAAAGCCATCACCCTTTATTGGAACTTGGCCACCAGCCCCAGAAGGGGGCTGTCGTTGCCCGGCAGGACCACGAGGAGGTTTCCCAAAGCTGTGTCCCAACGCATCCCTGGTCCATGATGCATCCCCACCAAAGAAACAGCCATGGTTCGGCCAACCTCACCAAGGATGGCGTCATTACCACCTGTAACATGTGACATAAATTGTCACAGTTACCCCGGGATCAAACCCGGATCACCGTATTATGCAATAAATTACCAAATAAAATTAGGAAAGTGGAATAAATGAGTCAATTTAAAAGAGAGCTGAGATCCTATCAGTTACTATACACATTTTACTTTGTAGGTAAATATGTGTCATGTTCAGTTAAGAGAATATGATGTCTGAGTTGACTTGTTTTTATGAATTGTATCTGTATTCTGTGGTAGCATGATGGGACTTAGCAGAAATATCTATGTTACTTTAAATGTGTATGTATTTATGTATGTATGTATGTACTCATATATGAGATGCATTCTGTGTCAATAGTTTGACTAAAAGGGATGAATAAAATTGAATTAAATAGAACTGAATACTATTATACAAGATAATTTTCTGATACTACCAGATGTATAATGGAGCAAGTACAGTAGATGCTTAGCCCAATAGTTATGTGCCTCTCTGTTTTGCTAATAACTGAGCATTCATGAGAGATCAGTTACAAGTTTGTAGCATGATGATAATGAACTTCAGGTCTTACTTTAAAGAATGGACGTTTGTTATCTGCTTAGAGCAGTGGTTCTCAACCCTTGTGAGATCATGGCCTGGTAAATTCTTTTTTTTTATAAGACGAGGCCCCTGTATAATCGATGCCAGGGCCCAGTACAGGGCCGCGGCCTGGCAGTTGAGAGACACTGGTTTAGACAATTCCATGTACCAGGGACATACTCAGTTATGATAATATTACACCCATATTTATGCATGCACCTATGTGTGCATACACACCCAAACGCTGTAATACATATGCACACAGGTAGAAACACGCAGGTATAAATGTTCTTTATTACATATATACTGAGTATTATGACAAATTTTGTCTCTCCTGAAACCATCCCATATGTCTTAGATGCTGAAACTGCTGGAACCCAGTTTTCCAAAAATTTCTGCAAAATAATATTGACTTTTCATACTATTAACCTGAGGTGAATATTATGAAAGTCATTTGCATCTATATTACAGGATGTCTTGATGAAAGTTATCCAAAATAAAAAAAATCTTTATTTCGAAAACTAATTGTCATACATGTATTAAGTTTATGTCATCTGAAAGGAAAACTCTGAAAGTTTTTCTTCCATGCCCATATTATGCATGTGCCAGCTGATGACCTTTGGCAAGCTCAGTAACAATGTTGAAACCACAAGAATATATTCAATGCGTGTTAGGTCTAGTGGAGTTGCAATCTCTGTCCAGTGTTGTTTTAGAATATAATACGTATAGACATCAACCTCCTACATTGAACAGCGTTCGGTTCCGGGACAACAAACTGAGGAGTACAGGTAATCTGTTGCTTGTAAAATCTGCTGGAAAGGCACAGACCTCTGAATAAAATGTCAGTCGCATTAGAGAGGCATTCCAGTGAACTCTGCACAAACCAGTTCATTCTGCTAGCTTACAGTTACAGATTCCACGTTGAACGGTGCACGATGTGCTGCACAAAAGGCTCGGGCAAAGAGTGTGCAAGGTTCAAATGATTCATGCACTAAAACCAATGACCAAGTAGTACACACAAACGTCACCTGTTTTTCTCTGCCAAGTGTGCTTCTCAGAGGAGGCAACGTTCCATGTCAATGGAGTTGTAAACATGTACAATGGCAGGATTTGTTGGGGCAATCAAAATCCACATGTCACATGTGAGTTGGAGAGAGAGAGCCTGAAAGTGGACATGTGGGCTGGCTTAATGTATGACAGTTTTTTTTCACTGGTTTTCTTTTCGGAAATGAATGTGACTGGACGTTCGTACCTGGACATGCTGTAGCTGTATGCACTGCCCCAATTACCACCTCAAACTATCCTCCAACAAGATGGTGTGCCACCATCTTAGGAATCAACAGAGAGATGGCTGGGAGATGGATCGGCAGAAGTGGACAAATTGATTGGTTTCCTAGGTTGCCAGATTTAACCCCATTAGATTTTTTCTTGTGGGTTTATATGAAGAACATTTTCTGCCAGGTTAAGATTAACAACCTTCAACACCTTAAAGCCTACATAAGGGATACTGTGGCTATGGTAACACCAAACATGCTTCAAGCAACATTGAACAAGGTCAAATATCGCTTGGATACCTTATTTTGGATACCTTTCATCCAGACATGAGGTGATATTTCTTGACACAATTGAAACACACACACATATATATATATATATTTTTTTCCCTTCCATTGTTAGCATTATCAGATGAGGAGAGATTACTATTCAGAGAGTTGATCAATGTCTGTGATAAGAAAATAAACCCTGGATTGTTCAAACTTAAATGGAACACGGAAATATCAGAAAAGTATTTATCTGATTGTTCTATACATATATCTGAGGTAAGAATAATATTGAGGTATATATATTCACAGTATTCTAGTGTTCTTAATCATATTGCTTTTTCTTATTTGACAATACATAATCTGAGTAGTTGACACAGTATAATTAAATCAAATAGGAACATAACTGTATGAATTAGATCAGGGGTCTCCAAACTTTTTGAACTGCGGGCCACATTAGGTAATTCTGCACTTTCAACGTGCTGGATAAGAAATTAATAACTCTAGGTATATGAGTTTTATTGAAAGCACAGAATTTCATAAACTAAATACAAAGTACGTGAGAATAAATTATTGTATATTAATGACAACAGACAGTAGCAGCAAATGCTCATATTTTCATCACAAGTTATATTAAAACAGTTAATGTGAATGATGGAACTCTTTTTGCATTCTTAAAATCTGATTAAATTGAGGTTCAAATTTTGAAATGCTAATCACAGGTAGCGACTTTAAATGTTCATCGGATAAATTTGCCCTGTATTTTGACTTGATGTACTTCATCTGGGAAAAGAACTTTGTTCACACAGATACGTCGTCCCAAAAATGGAGATAAATTTACAAGCAAATTTCTTTAAATTTGGAAATTGCTCAGAGTTCAGAAATTTATAAAATTCGATCAAATTTCCTTCCTTGTATTTGTCTTTAATATGATAATTTTCCTGAAGTTCAATAATTTCCATTTGAATTTTACATCTGCAGCATCACAGTCAAACAGATTTTGAAACATTCCTGAGCACTGGCATGCGAATCAGCAGATAGCTTCCGAAATTGTTCTTTTAATCTAAAATGACTAAATTTGCAAACGAGGAAGGAAATTCTGTTTCACCCTTTTTATGCAACTCTGCACAATATAGCATATGAACAAAGTTACAATTTTTCAATTGGCTTTCCAGAAGTATCAACTTCCCTCTGAATGCCTTGATAAGTGCAAATAAATCACAGACTAAGTTATTTTCACCCTGCAACTTTAAATTCAAATGGTTCATATGGTTTACCAGATCACTTGGTATATGATAAAAGTGGTTCATGATGGTGTTTCTCGGTAAGAAATATATCAATTTCATTCCTGATCTGAAAGAAGCCCAAAATAACCTTTCCACAGCTAAGCCATCTAACTGCAGTATAATATGTCAGGTCAATAAGCTCGGAATCATATTTACCAATACTCATTGGAAAATTAGTTCAATTGGCGCATTTCTGCACAATTCTTTCGCGGGCTGGATAAAATCACATCGAGGGCTGCATGTGGCCCCACAGGCTGTAGTTTGGAGACCCTTGGATTAGATAGTGAAAATGTTGGGAGAACAAGCTGAAAGATCAGCATAGTTCTTTAAAACTGTAATCTATTACAGTCCCTTTTGGCACTGACAGAAAACTAAACATTACTGTGTTCTCCATGCTTGTGGGGAGAATATAATAATTCATTTAGTTTATGTCATATGAAGAGGAGGGCGCACAGTAGCATAGTTGGTTGAGGCACTATGCTACAAGCTGGAAGGTCGTGGGTTCAATTCCTGATGCGATCATTGGAGTTTTTAATTGACCTAATCCTTTCAGCCGCACTATGGCCCTGGGGACGACTCAGCCTCTAACAGAAATGAGTACCAGGAATGTTCTTGGAATATTCTTGGGTGTAACTAGTGGCCGCCCAGTAGGGCTGACAACCTTGCCACCATCTGTGAGCCGATTGTCTAGAAAAATGTGGGAACCTCAACATCTCACAACCCTGTGGTCCTCCACGGTCTGTGGCAGGGATCCCTTTACTTTACATATGAAGAGGTTTAGAGATATCGAGATGTAATGCAAACCACACAAGGAAGACAGATAAGTCCACGATTAAAGAGCATGCCAACAAAATAAAACATTTTGATGTATTTTAATTGCAACGCTATTTTGTTATGTGCAATGAATATATAAAGTTGTCTGAAAAAATTAAAACCTGAGACACAATTCAAATTCAAACAAGGGTGATAATTTGAAGTAGATATTACATAGAAAATCTTGTTTTAGGTAAAAAGACAAAGAGAGACAGAAAGAGGGAGTAAGTGACATCAATTGGGAAGGGAGGTCATATGGTCAGTTTCTTGCTGAGATGACAACAATTTTCATTTTAATAAAAATCAGTACATTTGTATTTTGACACACTGTTTGCATAATAAACTGAACATGCATATCCTTATTGCAGTTACAACACTTAGTGGATGATTTCAAGAATTTCAATCTGGAGATTGTTAGCATTTGTGAGGCAATATGTGACACGCCATTGATTTATGTGGACACTAGCCATGTGTATGAGTTGAAGGAGTTGGACTGCCACTTGAGTAACTTCAGGTGAGGAATTCAAATGGGAGGATCTATAGTATGTAAATACCCGATGTTTTGGAAAATTTCATCTTATAATAATGTCTTGAATATGTAGATATAAAAAGTACACAAATTAAACACAAAAGTATAAAAGTTATACATACTTTATAACATGTCACTTATGTAACATCTTTATTGGGTTAATAATTATAAAAATCAGCAGATGAGCGTAGATAAGTACTATAACATATTCACAAATCTTATTAACAAAAACAAAGTAATAGGCATGAATTTTGTATGAAGGTTTTATAAATGACCTTTACAATTCTACAATTTCTTGTTTAAAGGTCAAATTAACACACACCAATAAAGGTGTAAGAACATAAAGGGTAACATTCATGTTTCTTTATTGTTATTTAAAGATTTTGAATATAAGATTTGTTGACCACTGTATGTAAAAACAGGCACACTCTTGTTTAGTTGAATGTCTGCTAGTTTCTCAAGAAGGACCCTGCTTCAAGGAGACAGGCATATACATTGTGTTGCTTTACATTTTTCTTCCAGGGATGAAGCTATGGCTAAGATTCTGGCTCACTATGAATGTATTATACAGTGCATAGTTACTGTATATGAAGGATTTGAAGAGTATATACCATTGGTGAGTCATCTGTTTTTAGCAGCCTTTATCTTTAGGTAATGGATATATTGAATCAGTTTTCTATTTAAGATTTGAAGTTTTCACGGTGGTGACTATGAAGGAAGCAGTCTTCTGGGATGTGGCATCGTGTAGATATTGTGTTAACCGACGATCTGAGGAACGTATTGCCTCCATCTTCAGGGCAGAAGAAAAAGAGAAGACTATTTAGCAACTACTCATGCTGGTTCTTCACTTGTGGATTTTCTTCCTTTTTTCTTCTGCCCTGAAGATGGAGGCAATACGTTCCTCAGATCGTCGGTTAACACAATATCTACACGATGCCACATCCCAGAAGACTGCTTTCTTCAGTTTTCTATTACTTGTCTCTGACAAAGTAAAAACATGTGATTGTACACAAATTCCACATCATGGTTCAGCTCCCATGTTAAGCTGTAGGTCCTCTTTGCTAGCCATTATTAAAAATAATGATCAGCTAATATGACCTATTTCATGTTCACTGTCATCCTGTCTGCGAGGGATAAAATGGAAAACCTGGCCTTTTGGTACCAAAATTAGGATTCCTATGTTCAATTTTGCCAAGGGGGCAGAGACCAAGGGGATTAAATTATAAGCATAAACATGAGTGGAATTGTACCCAAAACTGAAAGCAGTTTCATATTAAGAGAGCATTTACCTTTAAATTGTAGCATATCTAAGGCTACAGAGAGAAAGGAAATAATTTCTTTTCATCTTTGGTATGTTAACCATTTCATCTCCCCAGTTTTCAAGCCCTGACATACCATACAGACAGCATTTGTAACAAGTTCCCTCATTCCTTTCCTCTTGCTTTCTTCTCAGCTTCGTCTGGAGAAAGGTTTCCTACCTGGAAATCTTACATTCTTTGAATGGGCAAGAGAATTCAAATTTTGTCCTGTAGTAGCTGAATCTATGCAGTACTTCTTTTTATTTGTATGCTTTTGACACACATGCTATCAATTGACAATGGCAAAAGTTCTTTCTTTTCTGTAATTTTATCATAAATTTGCAGAAACATACTTGTATTAGTCCCTAATATGCCTAGATTTTGCTTTGGGTATGTTGTATATACTGTATTTCTAACTTGTGATGTATACTAATAATTTAAGAAAGGAATCTTATACGATGGGGTACCCAAAAGAAACCGAACTAATTTTTTTGTGGGCAGAGCTTTTGTAGTACCGCGTTTTGCCGCTATGAGCGCATAGAGCTAACATTCCTGAGTCGATAAGCCGACTACCGTTGCTTCAGAAGGTAAGGACTAGTTTCGGCAGAGTTTATAGTGACAACTGTTTTGTGTGATCGTCGTTTTTGCAATGGCTGATTTTCGTGAACAGCGTGCGGCAGTGAAATTCTGCTTT